ATCTTTGGTACAGGAGAAATATTGATGATACTGAACTATGATAAGCTAAGCATTTTCCTTAGCTTGAGGGGTTTTGTGGAGGGAGGGTTTAAATACTTTCCAATCCCTGCAGACTCACCTGATTTATGGTATATTTCAGTGAATAAACAGGACATTACCTAGCTATTACCTGTTCTTCCCTACCTTGCATTTTTTTTTATACAATTTCATAAAGACAGCTGAATTTAACTTTGTGAATGAATGATTCAGGAGAGAAAAAATTATTAACACGCATTCCAAGTGGTCTGTATGCAGAACAAAAGTAATTCTACCTACTCATATACGATCAGTATCTGACTCATAAGTGCATTTCACTTCAAAAGGTTCATCTCTCTTCAAAAGGAGGTAACTTAAATCTAGAAAGAATAACTCTCATTTCAGTTTTCTTTGATGTGTTTAAAAGCCTTACAGTTTTCAACCTTATTATAAACACTTCTACAACTGAAGTAGCATTAATACAAAGAAACATTACTCCTTTTTCACAGACATTTCAAAAGAGGCACAGCATGAGAAAGACTCCTAAATCTTTTAAAATTTGAAGTAAAAACAGAATAAGCAATGCTTTGACATTCAGCACAATAAATCTTTCCTCACCACACACAACTCACTAGTTATACTTGTCGCCACCATTTCCCATTCTGATTTATGGTGGAAGCAAGAGACAGGAAACAATGACTTTTGAATTTTAACTTTTCATATTAATATCCTTCCAACCCACTACACACAAGCAGGGATTAAAAGCCATTGCTTGTTCTCATTTTAATTTCTTGAAACAGTTTTATCTGTGCAGTTTGTAATGCAGTTATGCTTGAGCTCAGATTCAGTTGTCACAACTTAGTGAGTCACTGAGTATCAGCTGAGCTGTAGTAATACACCAGACATGCAGAAGAGCAAATGCTTTTACCTAAATCTCCTTCTAATTGTTTGAATGTCTTGGAACACCTGGTAAATACAAGGTAGGCTACTACATCAAGATATACTTAAGATATACAACTTGATCACTTGTCTAGGTTTTTAATCTAAAAGAGTACTAAGCCATTTCAGCTCATGGTATCCTTATTATACTATACATATATTTTTGCTAAACACTTCAAACACTAGCATCAGATAGCCAGAAAGCAAGCATATGTCAATGAGAACACTTTCAATGAAATCAAGACCATACCTAAATATATAATGGATGAATGCAAATAAAAACACGCCTTCTAAATAGGGAGAGAGAGGCCAAGCAGGGAGGGGGAAAAAAAAAAAAAAAAATCTGTGAGGAGGCCATCAACCATACAACTGCTTTCTGTATTCAATCACATGTATTAAAAGCACACTGGAACAGAAATGCATTATGAAAACAGAGCTGGTTCTCTGACAGCAATCGCAGAAAGATGGAAAGAAAAACCAAAACAACTAAAAGGCCAGTTTGAAGAAAAATACCATGACTACCAGTTTACACTACCAAGACTTCAGAAATATATAGTTCCCCGCTAAAGGAAGTCAATCACAATAAAGAGCAATGACTCCAGAGTTGCAGTGTTAAAATTAAGGACAATTCTTCAGATGATATAAACCAATGCAGTTCCACCTTGCATCAATGGAAGATCACCTTAAGTGTCCAAGAATATTAATGAATTGTTCATTGAAGATATGTTCCATTTACAAGTATCTCTTTCAAAAAAAAAAAAAATCAAGAACATAAAATATGGAAGCACTTAGGTATACAGCAGACATCTGGCAAAACAATGACAAATAGTAGGATTAACATTTAGACTTAGTTGGAATAATCTCATAAAATCTCTTTCATTAAATCAGTCTTTCATACTAAGTGATTCCTTTTCAATGCAATTAAATTCATTATGTTAAATGAGCACTATTATATTTGCAAGAAAATAAACATAAGTACTGTTTTTATGCTTGCCTGCCAGGTAAATCACCCTTTTATAACTACAGGTCTAGCTGTCGCAGGGTACTTAAACATACACATTTAAGAGTTGGTGGTGGTTACTCTCTTTTTACTTGCGTGAGTTGAAGCACACTCAAATACAAGTAAAAATCTTTAACTTCGACTTTTTTTTCCACTTACAAGTGCTTATACTTTCTCTCACAGAAATTGTAATACTACTTGGATAAATGATGCAATTACAACAAAGACATTGTCCTGTCTTCAGCATGGAACACTAACAAAATTATTAAAAGCAGCTGCAAGAAAACCTGAGGCATTAAGAGAAAAACGTGGTGCAAGGCTTAGTGTCACAACCAGTTGTGTATTTTGATGATGAGACTTCAACTAGTGCCTCCATTTTTCTTGTTTGTTGTAACAATTGTCTTTTATACAGCAAGAATCATTTATCACAGAGTGGGATACACAACTCACCCTACCACCTTTTGCACCAGGTATATAAAAAGGGACTTAGTAGAAGATTAGCCGAAGATTTTATCAAAACATGTAGGGTTTTTGGAACAGATGATATTTTCTTTCATGAAAAAGGATGGTGCAGTTACCTAATGTCATACTTTTTCTTTGCAGAGGTTCAGTGTATGTCCTCACATATAAAGCAACGAAGATGGGAGTTGAAGAAATGGAAGTTTGAGTGAAGCCACATGTAATTTTCCAGGTTTGGTCATACAGGTGGTAACTACTAAATTTCCTTCTGCTGTGCAAGGGCAAAGACAACTGTCAGCTGAAATTAAAGCAGTGCACACAAGGCATAATACTAGAGCAGGTTTATGTCAATCTCAGGTCTATGTGAAGAGGTAAAACCCGATTCTTAGTCTTCACATCTTCAGAAAGGACAAGACTGTGGTGCCGTTAATTCAGTGAAAATGCTCAAGAAAACAGCTCTGCAACAGTTATGACCATTTTTGAAGATCTCAGAACCACCTTTTGTTTGGGTCTGCTGCATATACACATTCTTTTACAAACAGCAGAAACAGCCTGAGAAAACTCTGCTATGCCTTGCATCACTTTCTAGGTTGGCAGTGCTGCTAAAGACTTACCCTCTTTCCTCATTAATTCAGTTAGTAAATTTTCAGAACGCCAGATTGGAATATTGGGGGTATGGACAGCATACTCTCTTGTTTCATTTCCAATAGTGACACCAGATTTGCTGTAAAACATTCAATTGTACAAAACAGTCAAATGCTTTAGAAATTGAAATTGCTTTTTAAAGAAAAGGAAGTAGTTTACTTTAAAAAAAAAAAAACACAACATTGGAAATGCAACAAAATTTCAGCTAGAATGAGCAGTGACAGAACTCTTACCATTTTAGGGCTGCTGAGTGCCCATTGCCTTTGGCAGCTTCACAGCAGGTCAGAGAACACACTGGCACATCTCAAAGGATCAATGAAGCCAGAGTAATTCTACATCTTCATTTACAGGCTGAGCAGTGAGGCCAACAACCAACAGGACTTTGGGATTGAGCTACCATTTCCTTGCTAAAGGTGGTGCCTCAAAGTCTGACTTCAAGCAAAAGAAAATCTTGACTGGCCACTTGTCTGGGTGGCATGAATTTCAGCGTCTGTTGTTCTGGCATTCATCACAGCCCGTCCACTTGTTGAAATATTGATATTATTTCAAGGGATCCTAGTCATCATCAGCAGTAAGTAAGAAAGGAGACAGAATGCCGCTGATCATGCTTGTTGCACTGGCTAACCACCAAACACAGACATGTTTCAGTTTCTTCATTAGGCAAGGTTATACAAGTCAAACTAGAACTGTTATCAGCCTTAACTTTATTATCCTTGAAAGTTATATTAAGAAACAACCCTATCACTGTAGTATGGATCTCCTATTGTCTCTGTGGTACAGAGCACAAGTGCTTACACATAAACACTGCTTGCATGAACCAATTAATGTACTTAAATGAATAAAGGAGAGAAATTCTTTTTACGGAAATCAGTACCATAATAAAGTCACAGAAGTTAACAATACTGTTGTGCTTTTTTTCCTAACAGAGTATTGTGAAACCGCACACATTTGCTGCGGTTTGTAACATGCTATGTAATGACACTGGAGTCCCAATATCATGTCATTTTATTTTTTTTATACAGGCAGTAGAAGATTTGGTTCTAAAGTTACTTCAAGGAACCTAAAAGATCAGGCACATACATTCAATTTTTATATGAGTATTTGCTGTTAGATAAGCAGTATCAGATGCATTGTTTCCAAAATAACTGAATGTTACGTACATTCAGTAAAAGCAGACTTCAGTTCAGCAGTGCTGATAATTGGGACACTTACTCATAAGCCAGTATATGAGACAAGTATGTAGGCTCAAATCAGACAGAAGGTTAGAACACAAGGAAACAGAACAAACAAGAATTTAAAGAAATTTCATAACAGATATTATATGTGATTTTCTTAATAAATGCCTAAACTACCATATTGTTCAGATCTACGACTTCCTGTCTACCTTTTAAATCCTCTACTAGAATGCATTTCAGTGAAGCATATTCTGGAAAAAAGGTATTTCTGCATTTAACAAAACCTGTCAAAAACTGTTATTTACCAATAACAGTAACAAATCTGAAGGGAACAGCACACACGCTCTTTTACTACTACATGTAAAAGTCAATGTCCTCAAAAACAGTGCAGCTTACATAAGGTAAGGCTTCTTCACTGTATGGCTCTCACAAGAAGCAATTCGTTAACCATAGTAACAAGGATCTATAAAGAAAAAATATTCCTAAAAATAATTTCAATATATCCAGTACCAGAAACAGACTAACTATGTGATGTTCAACAAAGAAAAACATTCATTTATATCAACATGTCTCTTCAATTCCTCCAATGCCAATTAAAAAAAAACCCTATGCAATTGCACTTGTCACTGAAAAACTAAAAGGCACAAAACTTGCAGGAACAGTCTTGCTCATTGATATCAACTGTAAGCAGCAAAAGTTTAGTGTACTTTTTTGGTTTTGTTGGCTTTTGGTTTTTTTAAGGCAAGGAAATCAGTGAGCCAATTAAGTCAATAATTTGTTCCATACCAGTTATTTACCTTGTTGGTGCTTATATAAAGTACGAAATTGACTATAAAATACTCCTTCGTTTCTTCTAACCGTATCAACTCAACACAGACTTTACCCTCTGAATCTGCATAGTCTGTGGTATAGATATGGCCCATGTACTCATAAAGGCTGGATGCCTTGGAAGACGGTTCCATGTAGACCGGGGCACTGAAACACCAGAACGGCTTTCCAGTTGCATCCAAGAGAGTAACATCCATCACGTAGCAGTCCTACAAACACAAGCAGAAGATATTAATTCCCTATGCCATGGTACAGCAAGTAGATCTGTCCCTGATTTCAGGAGAAATATCAAGGGTTAAACAGATAGTAAATTTTGGTATGAAGGCTAAAAACTCAAAATATAATTGATAGTGCTCCACTGACTACTGAAAAGCAACAAATACTTATTTGGAGGTTTCCTACAGAAATCAAAATTGCAACCTATAGAAAGTAGCACTGCCAACCTCAATCAGACATTATTTCTTGAACATTTTTTATGCCTTTAACATCTGTGTTTCTCAATTATTAGTTACCTTGCCATTCAAATAGTGATAGTCCCTTCAATATGAGCAAGAAACCTAAGTTTAAACTCAGGTGCTAAACTTGTGTGAATGCAGCAATGTTTGCAAAGACCCTAAAAGAGACTACCCCCAAGGCAGCGTACACTCACAACCACCCTTACATGCCAGCTATAACTGAAAGGTATACAACACTTTTTGAATGGCTGCAAGCTTCAGTTCCCAAAAAGGTAATGTATCTTTCTACCCTCCAAATAATACTTCCTTTTAAAAATTCTTCAAAATATTTCTTTACAACACTACACAATTACATCATTTTGTAATGCTAGAGTCAGGATGCCAATTCTTGGGCACTTGGAAACTGATGGTTTCACACATGTGCCTTAAAAGCATATGGGTTGTGTGTCACTTAATATCAGCTGTTACCTATTCTCACGAGTTCTGAATCACTAAATGAATCAGATTATCTTAATTATGCTGTATATATGCATTACCTACAGGAGTATCATATGCTCCAAAAGGATAAACAAACCAAGATCACATATTCCATGACAAAAAATTAATTGGGAATGCTTTATTTCACTGCACTACATAGCTGTGCTTCTGTTGCTTCAACATTTCTTTCATTATTACTCTACTTCAATCAAATAATACAGAGCAGATGGCACAAACATAAGAGGTAACGTGATATATACAGTTTTCCTAAGTTTGTTAACATAGACTGTGTTGAAAATATAAAATTCAAACCAAATCTGATGATCATTTCATAACTTATATAAGCTACAAGTTTACTTGAAACAAGAAAGAATATCTTTTTTCTGGTCTGACGCCTTGCATATCGAAGGCCAGTTATGAAAAGTAGAGCAGAGTGGCCTTGAGTGTTGGGTGGTTTTTTCTTCCCATGTATTTTCAACTATCTGTACTTCAGCAATTAATTTTTTTACAAAAAATACCCATAAGTGACAAAAGAAGCTTTTTTTCTTCCCCTTAAAGTACTGGACAAAATTCAAATAAATTCAAAGTAGTGGCATGTTCTGCTGCTGTGACTGATTTTATTTGGCCTTCACATGTTTTATAGAGATTTATGTTGAAAGCCAAATTGAATTCTACCCACAGCGATGTTTTGACATGTCCAATCTCTCACCACAAAACGAGGGGTTTAAAAAAATTATTTATTTTTTCCTAGAAACAAATATTCAGTATAACATGCTGTAAGCATATAGGACAGAGCTAAACTAAGGACTACAGCCATAGCTCTCTGTTTCCTCTGACAGTTAATTTCACAGATTTTTATGTGCTACTCATGATTATTTCACGGAAGAAAAAATTCCATCAAGTAGCTGTAAATCGTACAGAATCACTGAATCATTTGGGTTGGAAGGGACCTTTTAAGACCATCTAGTCCAACCCCCCTGCCATGGACAAGGACATCTTCAACTAGACCAGGTTGCTCAAAGCCTCAACCATCATGACCTTGAACACTTCCAGTGATGGGGCATCCACTGGGCAACCTGTTCCAGTGCCTCACCACCTTCATCATAAAAAAAATTCAACCTAATGTCCAGCTTAAATCTACCCTCTTTCAGTTTAAAACCATTGTCCCTTGTCCAGTCACTACAGGGTTTGGTAACAAGTCTCCCTCAATCTTTCTCATAAGCTCCCTTCATATATTGAAAGGCCACAGTGAGGCCTCCCCAGAGCCTTAATTTTCTGGTATCAACCCAACACAGCAGCGAGATTTCCTACCTCCTATCACATGCTTTTCAAGCAAATGAAGTATATTCTGTAATTATGCGCTAAGATTTCACTAACTTTAAGCATGCAAATGGTTCTAACGAAATTAATGGGATACACAATAAAAATAAAATAAAAATAAACTAATTCAAGCCTAAAATTTTTTTAGAAGCCTTAAACAACACATATTATGCAACATGGCTCTTCATGAATATTCATGGCAATTAAAGAAAGATGGCAAACAATTACCTTAAAAATGTTTTCTTGTTAGCTTCAATTCCTTCTAATTACCAACATACCGTATTTTTGTCAACACACATGGGGGAAGGATTTGTTGTTCTTTTGAAAACAAACACACAACTCAAAGTTTAGCACAAACTGAGAAAAAAATGCAAGTGAACAAACTTCTCACTATGCATACAAGGAATGTGAAAAAAAATTGTAATGAGCAATTAGAGAGGGAACACTGAATGGAAACTGTAACTGAAGTTCAACTACTGTTGATGTTGCCAACAGATACTAGTCAATTATTAGGTTTTAAGATAAATTTTATATTCTACATTGCATAGGAAAGCTGGCTGACACTGTAAACTGTAAAACAAGTATGCTAAAGTCCATGAGCAAAATATAGACGGTTGGACTTGATCTTTGAGGTCTTTTCCAACCTTAACAATTCTATGAAAATATTATGTTTTCAAATAGTATTCCATTCCACACTTATGCAGAACAGTTATATTAATTTTTACTTTTTTCAAAGTAAGTGCCAGAATTGAAATCAAGTGTTGAACCAGAACATTTTTTACTAGGGTTTAAGTTACATTTATCAGAATTTTCAGTACTTCTAAAATATTCATGCAGCTGAAGTCCACTTAAAAATATATGCCTTCGCCACTGTTGCAAAATCTACAGAACTACTCTCAAACTTTCTTTAAAATAGTTCTTTTATGAGTTCTGTACAAGAGAACGAGTGAGAAGTCCTCTAAAACACAGTTAATCCAGCTGACCCATGTACATGAGTCAAGAGCTAGGTGCTGACTGCATGAATGTCCTGGCCATCCCCCGTCCCAGCTTCCCATGCACCCCCAGGCTGCTCACTGGCAGGCCAGCACAAGAAGCTGAACAGTCCTTGGCTGCTTAGCAACAATTCAAAACATCAGTATATTATCAACATTATGTTCATTTTAAATCCAAAACATAGCCTCATATCAGCTTCTATGAAGAAAATTAACTCTATCCCAGCTGAAATCAGGACAAAGAGTTTCTAACTTTCATTGCACATACATGCTACAAAGACAACTGCAGAGTATTTCCCTGGGGGTTCAAGACTTATTGCCTCTCAAAAAAACAACCCAAAAACCCCTAGAAAAAGCACATCTGCAGTACATGTTTTGTTCAGCATTTCCAAGCAGTGCTGGTCAGTCACAGCATCTTTCCTGAGTGGAAAGCACTGGAGTCATCACGCATGCATAATGGGTCTATCATGCAATCTAGACTCTAAGAGAGAAAGGATAAAACTATTTTTCCCCAAAAGTCACATCATTTTTGCAGTATTTGAATTGAGGGGGGTTCTCTATTTGCAGACACCTTCCACAAATAAAAACTTTTTTTAATTAGCATATTTAGGATGCATAAACATAATTGTTTTGAGATAAGCATTTCTAGAAACAGAAAATATTTCTGACAGACCTGTACATTGCCTTTAAATGCATCTGTTTGCCAGGATAAGCCAACTGTTCCAGTAAGAGGCAAGTGCTTCATATTATTTTTTAAGCTTACAACTGTGAGCCTCAAATATCCATTTTCAATGTCACCTGAAAATATTAACAATATATAACATTATACTATTACAGATCAAACTAAGTGCAAGTACACCATAAATGTTCTCTCTGCTTCTCTCTCTGTCTTTAGTTTCCTCCCACCCATCAATAAGGAACCCTGACATATACCAACAGCTAGATATCAAGCACATTATAAAGAATTTAAGTTCAGGGCTTTGATTCCGTGATCCATAGTAGAAGCAGCAGGTAAAAAAAAAAAAAGGTATAATTGAGTATAAAAATCTGAATGTCACCTAAAGGATTTACACAAGGATGCAAGGAATAAATTCCACATTCAACATTTCAATTGCATGCCACCAGTGCCTCCACCACTGCCCACTCCTCAAAAGTCAAGTTGAACATGTAATACATGAAATAAATTATGGCATACCTTTTTTTTTTTTCCCCTACTCTGTCCAGTAACTCAAATAACCCTGTACAACATGGTATAAAGATAACTATCAGTCCTCCCTGGAAAGGATATTGCATCATTTAAAATGACAAGCAGTATGCCTTGATTTGAATCAAGTTTTTAAATTATGGATTTGTTCATTTTTTAAATAGCTTTCCAAAGGCTCACTTTCATTTTTTGACAGAATTATTAAGATTTCTTTGTGATTTTTTTATTTTATTATTACACATAACTACATTTCTTTGGTATGTCTTCCTCTCCCCCCAGAAGAGATTGACTTTTTTCAAATGTTCTTTTTTCCCTTGTTATTGGAGGAGGAAAGTTAACCACGGAGTCCAACGGTCTAATTATAATTTGGGGTACATCATAACAAACAAGATCTCTGACTACAAAAAAAAAAATCTATCACATCATCACACAAGCAGACTTCTTAGTAGGACATCCCTTAAAAAAATTTCCTTGAACAAGACACAATCTCTTAAAAGAGCAAACGAAAGCACTAGAGACCTCAAAGAAAAAAAAAAAAAGGAACAGAATTAAGTAACTAGCACTTGCAGAAGACAGATAGTAAGGAATTCCCAGGAGAATACAGCTTGTTAGGATCCAGTAGCAGGCTCTGGATGGTAAGATGATAACTGAAGGGGCTTGTAGAGGTTTAAGATACAAGTGGAGAAAGTGAAAAAAAAAAAAAAAAAAGAGAGAAGTGTTTTGCCTGTGGTTCTGCTTCAATCAAGCCCAAGTAGCAGCATGAGGCCGCAGACAGAATAAGGGACATCAGAAAGGCTGGCTTTGGGTTAAAAAGCTAAAGCCTGTGTGAAGGAGCAGCAAAAGCCTTTGCCTGGTGGCTGCTGAAGACAGACAGCTGGAGGCAAAGTGACAGAGAAAGAGAGCCCACAATTTACCACAGAAGCCAGAAGCTTCTCTGAATTGGTACTGTGGGGCCAAGCAACTTCCAAGGGATACTTGACCACAAACCAATGCTAGAAAGACATCACTCACAAGCGGGTAGTCCAAAGAATACTTGCTGTGTGGAGGAAGCAGCCCAACACATGACGGGACGGAAGTACACAGACACTGTCTGGAATATGAGTGTGAATACAGTGGAACCAACATGACTATGCCGAGGAAATATTATATATGGTTGAAGGAAAACGCATCACTCCAGGCAGTGATACTCACTGTCTTTCCAGTGAAGTCCCAGAGAACTCAGTGAGGAAAATGTAAGCAGAATTCACTTTCGAGATCCAGCTCAAAGTGAAAAAAAGTCTAAGATGATACCTACACAAATGGTTCAGTTCCAAATCTCGGTAAGTCAAATCCAATTACAAGATTTCATTCAAGATAAAAATATTTTAGATAAATAGTCACGCTTTACCGAGTGAACACTGAAAGTCCACATTTACAGTTGAGCTTTTATACAAGAGACCCTAAACTACATTAGTCAACAAACATTTTTTCCAAAGGACTGTTCAGTTATCTGCAATTCAGATTTGAATGGAAGCAGCTATTCCTCTCATTCAAAACAAATGAAAATTTTAATGGAATAAAAACAGATTGAAAAAAGCATACTGCTAATAAATTAATGAGGCCCAGGACATCACTACTATTGCATGGCATTAATAACATGAACTGCTGCATTGCGAGATGGGTCACCTGGCTAAGGTGTAATGCCATTACTTCTTAACTTTAAGCTAGATGGAAATAGGTAACACAGATCAGGAACCTGAAGGTTTCATGGGCTAGTTAAACCTTTATAATTTTTAAAAAATATAAAAGCTCCACTGCAGCCATCATACCCAGAGGAAAGAAAAAGTATGCCTAGAAATTAGCAAGAAGCTGAAGTGCTATGTACTGAAATCTCCCTCTCCTCATCCCAGTCAGATGAGAAAAGGAAATTAAAGGGCAGAGCAAGCTATGTTAAACATACCAAGGGAAACATAGAGGGAGCAAATGGGATAGGGCTTTCTTTAGCCTGATCTAGAATTTGTTTTACTGTCCCCTTATAATAGCTACAGCCAGAGTTTATGCAAGACACATAGAGCAGCAAAGCAGCCCTTTCATTAGTATAGGTCATAGGGAACAAATATTTCCAAAGAGAATACCAATATAGAGAACATATATCATGCACACAAACCTCAAGGGTAAAGAAACAAATACCTCACTTATTTTAGCTAAAAGCCAAGCGAGTTTGTTTCGCTACGCAAGCCTTTGTTGGCAAGTTGTAATTTGATTGTTATTTTCACAGGGAAGGCTGTGCTTAACATTAATTCTGGTGGCAACAAGCAGCCTTACCATGCTGAAAAGATCATTTAAACTTGCAAATCAATCTTCAAGGTCAAGCAAAAATATTTCAAATACATGATGTGATATTTTACAAAAAAATCTTGAAAGCTAAAACACACAAAAATCACCCCATTAACATTTTGCAAACACAACACATCAAGTTACATCAACAAGGATGTAAAAGCCAAAGCTTAGACTACCATATGTCTACAAAACCATGCTTAAAAAGTTGAAAACCTAGGTACATACATTTCAAGAATGTTTATTAAAAAGCTAGATGCAGTATTCATGGCTTCTATGAGTCATATGAAAAGCCTGTCACAGGTTCCTGAAAACAAGAAAAGTTTTGCAATATATTCAATCCCATTATTCACCCTACAGTATTTGTCAACAATATGGTATTACCAATTCTGTTTAAAATGGAAAGAAGCATCAAATAAAATGCTAAAAAACAGCCAAAACAGAGTGGCAAAACAGCTAGTTACTGCAGTGCAAGTATTAATAACAGAAAAAAAAAACCACTTAGTTCAATGAAGTGTGATAAAACTTTTTTAATTTAATGTTTAGAATTTTGCAGAAACAATTTAAAATAGAGAAGCAAAATGGAAAACAGAGCAGCAAAATGAAGTACAACATTAATGAACACTAACAAAAAGGAGACAAAAATAAAACTAAACATGAACAAATAAATCAGTTAATTCCCTGGTAGCTCAGGAGATTCTACATCTTCCTAAAGGAAACAAATAAATAAGTAAAAACCCAGTATAATAGCTGACAACTGATCTGTGTTGCAGGTTGTAGAAACTGCCATTGGCATGTCACATCCATAATTTAAAATAAATCTGGATTGGGTGGAGAATTTTAAGAAATAGCAAGACTTCTCATTATGTCGGAGACCTCCATGTTTTCAGAGCCCTCCCAGAGAACAGGACAAAGAGTATCATTAGAATGGAGCCTAAAAACAAAGCACAAACCATCAAATATAACCAGCTTGGACAAAGCTACACTGTTGGCCGCATTCAGAAATACCGTATTTGCCAGAAAGAGCAAATGAACAACAAGTTACCATGAAGATATGACAGCAGACAGACATAAGCTGCCTCACTACATCATTTTTGAATGCTAATTATGGAGAAAATCAAGCATTTTCCAAAAGACATTAATGTGCAAGTACATGGATGGGACTACATGACAAATGAGCTTATTGCCTGCACCACCACGGCTTCAGCTGGCTGATGTCCTTTGAGAGTAGAATCTAGCGGCTGGCACACAGCTAAAGGACACAAAACTGAAACAGTTCAGAAAACATTCCTGATCATAAAACAGATTCTCTATCAAAGTGAGATGGCATCACAACTGTGGATCCTGGACATTTGCTACAATTTGCATAAACATCATAGAATCATAAAAATCATAGAATCATTTAGGTTGGAAAATACTGTTAAGATCATCAAGTCAACTGTTAACCCAGAACTGCCAAGTCCACCTCTAAACCATGGCCCTAAGCACCAGGGATGGTGATTCAACCATTTCCCTGGGCAGCCTAACCCTTTCCAGTCTAAACCTCCCCTGGCACAACTTGAGGCCATTTCCCCTCATCCTATCGCTTGTTACTTGGGGAAAGAGACCAACAATGACCTCTCTACAATTTACCTTTCAGGTACCTTTCAGGTAGTTGTAGAGAGCAATGAAGTCTCCCCTCAGCCTCCTCTTCTCCAGACTGAACAACCCCTGCTCCTCAGAAGACTTGTGCTCCAGACCCCTCATCAGCTTCATTGCCCTTCTCTGGACATGCTCCAGCACCTCAGTCTCCTTGTTGTAGTGAGGGGCCCAAAACTGAACACAGGATTCAAGGTGCAGCCTCACCAGTGCTGAGTCCAGGGGCACGATCACTTCCCTACTCCTGCTGGCCACACTATTCCTGATACAGGCCAGGACGCTGTTGGCCTTCTTGGCCACCTGGGCACACTGCCAGCTCATATTCAGCTGGCTGTCAACCAGCACCCCCAGGTCCCTTTCCGCCGGGCAGCTCTCCAGCCAGTCTTCCCACAGTCTGTAGCGTTGCATGGGGTTGATGTGACCCAAGTGCAGGACCTGGCACTTGGCCTTATTAAACCTCATACAGTTACCTCGGCCCATCGATCCAGCCTGTCCAGATCCCTCTGCAGAGCCCTCCTACCCTCCAGCAGATCAACACTCCCACCCAGCTTGGTGTCATCTGCAAACTTACTGAGGGAGCACTCGATCACCTCATCCAGATCATTGAAAAGGATATTAAGCAGAACTGGATAAAGGTATTAAACAGAACCAATCAGCTTAATCTTTAACAGAAGTAGCTTCTAAGCAGCAAAAAAAGTGATACCAACAAAGAAAAGTGTGCCACATACTGCCCTCTCTTGTACAGCTGTATTGCTAGGTGTGTAAAATTTTCATTTTAGAAAACAAAACATGACATTCACCTCAAAAAAAACACGCACGAAAGTCAACCCTCTGGCAATTTCCAGAAGAAAATTTTTTATGGAGTATAAAGAAGGATCCTGTATTGAACAATACCTCAGGAGAGATTTCTATTGCTACATGGATAGAATTTCACTGAAGTTTTATCCTTATAAGTATTCCTCTATTTCAAGTTTGGACCTTTTCAGGAATCTGAAAACATGTAAGTTTCAAATTCAAAGCACTACAACGCTTCACACTGTGCACAAGTCTACAGTCTAAATGACAGTTCTTGGAGCCATCAAATACAGAGTTCAAAAAAAAAAGAAAGCTGCAGGGAAATTTGTTCTAACGCTGTAAAAACACTCAAGCCACTCAAACAGTGCCCTCTACTGTTTTCATAGTATGTAGAAAATAATGTATGCCTAGATCTAAGTAAGAAATTTTTCACAGTGAGGGTGGTGAAACACTGGCACAGGTTGCCCAGAGAGGTGGTAGGTGCCCCATTCTTGGAAACATTCCAGGTCAGGCTGGATGGGGCTCCGAGCAACCTGGTCTAGCTGATTATGTCCCAGCTCACTGCAGGGGAGTTGGCCTAGATGACCTTTAAAGTCCCTTCCAACTCAAACTATTCTATGGTTCTTCAAAAACGGTATTTTCTGACATCAGCAGAAGGCTTCTTAGCACTTATTAGAAAAATAGTGGGAAACAATAATTAATTTCCAGTGTTTAATTTAATTGTTTAATTTTAGTATTTTAATCTGCCTCTGCTGACAGGAAGACAGCTGTGTAGCTGTAGGCAGGGTTGTGTTGAAGTCAAAAGAGAGATCACCCATATATTTTGCAAAACTCTAGCAGAATTATTAAGTTGGGCTGTACATGAACAATAAGGATGGCTAATCATGTCTCATTTAAAGAAATGCTAAGAACTGAGAAAAAGCAGTACAGTTATAAATAATCACTGAAATTATTCATTACACAATGAAAGGAATTCACAATAGACAACCTTAAGTTGGTCTAAACAAAAGTTATAAATCTTAAAGTTCACAGTATCTTCTACAAATATATTTAATCTCTCAATGCACCTGAAGTATACCTGAGAAGAATTCCACAGAAACAGGTCTCCAAAATGTATGACAAACCCACTCTCCCTTATAGTATAAAAGTGGAAGGAACATCACTCTGCACCAAAAGCTGTGCCACTGCGTTATTAACTCAGCACTGAACCAAACAAAAATATCCTAACAATCTGCAGAATTTATATTGCAGGCCTGACACTATGTCAATGTAATAGCCAGCAGACTTCATATAGAGCAATCTTATGACACCACACAACGCACCATGCAGATATAAAGAAATCATACTACAAAAACATAGCTTACTCTTAAAAATCCATTTCCGTTTCTCCCCTTAAAACAGAGAGATTGAATATAAAAAGCACAACAAAACAGCAGGGATCATTTTAAAAACAGACATTACTGTTCTGTCAACACTACCTTTTCTGCAGGAGAGGCTCTTGAATGTTCCACACAGGTAGGTGCAGCTTCCACCATGCATATCAAGATGCAGATCATAGTCATGCAGTCCATATTCTGGGTCAACATCATCCAATACAGGTTTATTAGGCAGAAGGGCATATTGACTTTAAAAAATAATAATAATAGAATTAAGCAAGGGGGAAGGATTTAATAGAAAAGAGATACCATAAATAGCTCTACACTGAGACTATCACCTTAGGAGAGGTTATAAGAGGGGAAAAAATTACTAGAAGACACAACTTTTCTTCTTTATTAATGCTTTTGAAAATCAAACATCTCTAGTTCATCATAGTTCTTTTAAGCTAATACAGTGTCTAATACTTCTACTCAGCTGTGCAGTATAATCAAAGGCAGAAACTATGGCAGTCGACTTTAAAAGCTACATCTGTTAAACTCCAAAATATGGACTTATTTATGCAAAAAAAAAAAAAAAACACCATCAGCTTTACAAATCTGAAAGCCAGCTAGCTACAGACTTCTCTGGAATAGGAGTTACTGAATAATTTTGGCTGTGCCTAACTTAAAAGGGAAACTACTGCACACAAATGACCAGAAGAGCCCAAATCCCAGAGGCAACTGAGCAGCTCCGATACAGGATCCTATTTGGCAGTAAGGGAAATGGGTTTACCTTCTGTGTGAAAAAAGCCATACTAACTTACAGCAGGCACGTAAGACTATCAGTAGATAAAACAGTACCTAAGCAGAAAGCTGAGGGGGTGGGCTGTGGGGAAAAATAAATCCCCCAAATCATCCTCTAAAGCTAAAAAACTCCATCTTTTTAAACAGTTTACAGTGTATAAATAGGTATTTTATTATACACTGCAATATACACATATACACAAATACAGCATAGGAAATCCAGTTTTTCAATAGGACTGAAAGATAAATGCAGGTACCTTACCAGTTTACTCTAATTTTTTTCTCCCCTCTTACACAGCTAAAAATTATTTTCCTACTTCCTAAAATGTCTCCCTCTTTTCTAGGTCTTTCAGATAGGAAGAGGGAATAAAAAGATGCTTGTGAAAATGGAGAAGTATGGGCAGTGTATTTCCACCTTTCTCAATACAGTAAGCACGCATACTCTTGTATGACTAAATTATCTCCTTAATAGCATAACAATGGCAACATTTTAGTATGAAAATACTTCTACAGCTTTGTATATAGTTACTGTAACTGTTGTTTATATTAAACAAGAATAGTTAATTACTGCCTAAATATAAACCTCTTACCAGCAGCCAATTTTAACTGTAAAACTCAAAGCTTTATTCAAAAGGTTATCTTTATTACCCACAAAGGAGAAACCAAAACTTACACAGTAGCAGAACCCAAAGTGCTTCTCTCAAGAAGTTGGTGATAATGAAGACTTGCCATAACAAAAGCAATTTCATTTTTCTCCTGAAAAGTTAATTAAAGTAGATGTATTTTTCATCTGGAAATACTTCTTTTCACAAGTTCTTCCTGAGCATTAAAATTCATAGATAAATGCTGCTGCTTATTATTCTGCCAGTTACTGTAATAATGTTAATAATGGCTTGCTTTAACACTTGGACTCCTATAACTGCTACCATCTTTTCACAAAGTACAGAATATATGTAAAAGATCACATCATTTCTATATTGTGGGGAAAGGGAGGGAAACTAGCTATGCCAGGGCAAAAGTTATCAGCGTCAATCCATGAACCGTACTTCTCTAGCTCCTACTCACCACTTTAGAACTAGACACTTAATAAGAGTCAAACAGGCCTTACTCCCAGCTACTAATTACCTAAGCATCAAGCTTATTTTCATATGTAAGGAACTGTTTGCAAAGAGGGCTAACACCAGTGAGGAATACAGAGCTATTCAACAGAAATACTGAATTTCAAAGTAAAACCCCAGATGTCTTCACCAGATTACATGCTCCTGGGAAAACGAAAAGACATACCTTCTATAGGCCTATATAGCTCAAAGAAAACTTCAGAGCTCAATGTGAGAACTAAGCAGACCCAAAGGTACCTATTTACTTCAAGAACACAGAATGCTAGGATTTTAGGTGTGTTTTTTTTTTAAAGAAAAATGCATTTTTAAATCCTACAGTTGCAAACACATAAGGGAATGGCAAAATTATTCACTGCCAGCAGTTTATTACTGTCCTGAAAAGTGGGCAACTATTGTTTTCCTCTCTCTAGGTTACCAAACAGAAAATGACATCCCCTACTCAAACTTCTTTTTTTTTTTTTTTGTAGTTACTCCTGTAGTTTCATAGTAGAAAATTATAGCTATAAAAGATATAATGACAGAGATTTATCAGTCACCTAGAGCCTCTCAGTCTTTCTCTATCCAAACACCAGAAGGCCCGCATAAGCTGTCCTTGGTTGTCAGAACTATTAGCATCAACAATTTCTGTTATGCAGCTAAGCTACATGTAAAAAAACAAGATGTGTGGCATTTATGATTACTACACCCATCTACAGTTAACTGCCTAATGTTACTCTGCCCACACAGAGAATAAGAACAGCTGTTCAGAAAAGTAAGCAGGAAAAAATATACTAGAGTGAGGCATTTGATGCTTAACAACTTCGTGGAACTTAGGATTGAATCATTTCCAGTTGCTGAAAGAGTTCTCTTTCCAAGCATGGGAAGGGGTAACAGGCTGGCAAGACCATAGGGACAACAACACAGGGACACCAATCTACTAAACTACGGAAGATACAATAGGATCGTCTGTCCACTTATCAGAGTTTTGAATAGATTGAGACAACCCATAATAGCCTCATGCAGGTCAGCTAGTCTCAAGTTTTCTAGGAAATAGACACCTTTAAGTAAGTGAAACATACATTCCTTCCACAGTTTTAAACAATTCCTCTGGTTGATTGTGCACATTTGAGGTAGCAAGAGTTTCCAGCTGGAAATGCAACACAGCTTAGAGCAACTGTTCACAGGCTCCCTGAGGGAAGTTCCTCGCCAGTGCCAAATAATGTAAGTTTACCTCATCAACATGGCAGGGGGAGGAAGAAAGGGCTGCCACCTCTGGATTCTGTCCAAAAGCAGAACACCTGAGATAGGCTTCCATAGCACCAAACCGTATGCAACTTCAGGCAGACACCTAGGTCTCAGTGTATTCAATGCGAAGATGCAAATTCCTTTAGAGCAGAAGTCTACTTTAGATGTTCTGCACAGCTCTCTAAAAGACATCCATCTCTACACACAGCCTACAGAGACTAACCCCTTAACTTAAGCACTTAATACCAAGAATTTAATATCTCCAAAAGGGCACAATTTACAGTGTTCCTACTGCTGGAGCAGGATACAGTTACCTGGTGATGTAGATTAAAGGAAACAACTAGCAAAGCTGCCTTGTGAGAATTCATCACTTTGAGTGATGGGGACAGGGCAAGGCATAAATCAGGGAAGAAGCACATGTCTTCTCAAACTGTTCTATTTAAAATGTCTTTAGGATATCAAACTTTGGCATGTGAAGACTGCAAAATAAATACAACTGAACACAGAAATAAGATCAGTATTATATATATAACAATATAATAAACTATGATACATAACTGTTCTTTAACTAGAGGTGAGGGGGGTCTTAAAGCACAGATACTCTTGCAACAGCTCTTTAGAATACAATAAATCAACTACGTGTCCTTACTTGTATTTTCTTGTTGTTAGTTTAGACTAGATCTTTCAAAATCCAAAGAAAAAAGGAAGATTAAAAAAAAAACAACAAAAAACCCACATCCCGAACTACAAGAAGAAACAGATTCCTTTGCCAAGTCATAATAAAAGTATTGAAACAAAATATTATCTTACCTTCCAAAGCCCTACTAAGAGTCCTGGATTCAGGCTAAAGAGCTGGACAAGCTTATCAGCACCAACTGCTGCACTAGTTCCAGTCATGTTAGCAAGATGGTATTCAGCAATTAAGGAACATCGACGAGGTCTTTGAAACAAAAATACGGAATGTAGCAACAGGACTATGTCTCCTTATTTATGTAAAAGTGCAGCCTAATTTCAGTTTTAACTCTGAAGTCTGACCAACAGCACATAATGAAAATGGTTTTAAAAACATTCAGCATGCACAGCCATAAACTTTACTTCTGAACAAATACAGCATATGAGCAGGATCTCAACCCCTAACAGGAAAAGAAACAAAAGCCGCCATAGGATGGCCTAATATACTACTTAAAAGAGGAACGACTTATATGCTTGCCCGACATTTCAAAATAGCCACAGAATTACTTTATAATTAATTTCTAAAACTCTGTTGGTAATAGATGAAATCACTGAATATTTGTCAGTAAGAAGCAAGCTACTAAGAAGGTAAATTCTTCCTCCACAGAATCAAAATGTCAAGGAAAGGATCAAACTGTACACATAATAAATTAAAAACTTATGTCAGAGGAAGCTTCCCTTCTTGAGAAAATTATTTCAATTTTGCATGTAATTGAAGTGATTCAGCCCTATAACACCCTTTAACTAAAGTTCATACTTCACAGGTGTTCTTATTGGCTCATGATGCATAACAAAGAGCAGAAAGTGGAGTCTGCATTACCTGTTCAGAATGGAGAAACTCTTTTTAACTCTTTCTAAAATGCTTCACAGACTTACGCTCTTATTATATTCAAAAACTGTTCCTAGACTTCCCAGTAGTATCATCTACTACTACACACTGCTAGGAAGACAGCAACAGACCGGAACTGTGTCACATTACCTAGAACTCTAAGATTTGGGGCTGGGACAGGACACCAATCCATCTTTAAGTCAATTAGGCAGGTATAAATACAGGGACTTTCCCAAAATCCCTGCAGTAGCTCCTTACAGTCTTAACATTCTGATATTTCTGAAGTCATTACCTTCATGTATATTCACAAGCTCTAACAACTTAAAATTCTGTGAAATAAATACACTAATGCCTGGAAGTTTTATTTTACTGTTTTCTACATGTGAATTATCATCTTGGTAGAAACAACTACACTCCTCACATAACTTGACTGCAAGATTTCTAGCCTGTGCTGTTCAGCCGACTTTACACAAAAGTGTTTTAATTTTTTAGGTAAATACTCTCCTTCTGCTTGATGAACCATGTTTTTTGTAGGTGAACAACAATACTCTCTTTTCAGAGCTCTACTGCTAGAGGTATGTAGCTGATACTGCATATACTAAAACCACACATAAGACACAGACATGTGGAAAACTCCTTGACAGCAAATACATACATACCTCAAATACACAATTTTAATTTAAACATCTTTTCTCAGAATATAATGCTAGAAAAATATTGTCCACATTTAAGTTACAAAACAACAGCTATCTCACTTTGTGCTGCAGACTATTTTTATTTATATGCATCTACTTATACTGTACACACAGCCAACCACCAAGTTCCCTAAATTCACATACACACCTATGGCAGGCAGAAAAAAAAAAAAGGTGTTAGTAGCATAGATTATCTGATTGTAGCCACATTGATGAACTGTTCCAATCTAAGTGTCTCACATGAAATTCTCATAGATTTACATGTTTGTTTCATGCTTATTTGTATCTATGCCTTAGATTCAGCTTTACAAAGCAGGACCTATCAGTCTTGCATGCCAGTAGCTACATTAACCTATGGATTAATGTCACAACTTGCTGGATTATATCTATTTCTTGCTAAAAAACTATACCAATGAAAAGAAGGACATAGGCTTTGGAAGAAATACCACAGAGAGGCTTTTGAAGAAAGAAATAACCTGTTGAGTCAAACCAACATCAGATAGCTCCTACAGACACATTATCAACCAGTTACACTAAAAAAGCCTCAAAAATCCTACGTTAAAACTCACCCATTCTTGCTGGGAGCTCTGCTTTGGACAGGAAGCAATGGTGTAACTCCAAATAGTTTTAGAGTTGACAAGGTGTCTAAGCATGGCCAACTTGTACTATACCAAAGTATAGTGACAGATGTGTCCTTAAATGATAGGTTTGCCTTCTCCATTACATGTTCCTTTCCATTTTTGTCCTTTAAAACAATTATCCAACTCAAGCCAGAGGCTCTGTTATTTAGGAATTGAGAGGGGAGAAGGGTGTTTAAAAAAAGTCTCAAAGTGACAAAACTTAAACTATCCTTTCAACAGAATTTTTAAACTTCTATTAACTGCTACATATGTTTCTCAGGCTAGGTCATTTATAGGTTATCATCAGATCTTCCCATTACCATATACATTTTATAGCTCTATTTCCATATCCCCCCAGCGTTACCAAAGCCATTAATATTCTCTACATTGTTCCTGAGTGAATATCTTCTGTGAGAAAGCATTGCTTACTTCATAGCTTCTTTGTTTTTACATGGAAGACCTGTGTAAGGATCTACAGGTTTAACAAGTCGCATTACTCTAGTTTTGACAGCAGCTATTTGTTTGAAGATGTATTCTTTCTTCCAGTACCCAGGCTTTCTATCATGTAGAGCAGCACAGCCCAAGGAAACAGTTTCTGTTTGTTCAGACTTCATTGCCCAAATTGTCCTTTTTGGTTGAAAACAACGGGAATAGATTTTCAGCCAGATTCCACTGAAAATAAAAATAGAATAAAGATGAAAACCATATAAATTTCAAGAAGAGTTAACTTAATTATTCTTACATGCAGATTTCAGCTACCACTGAGCATAATGTTAGCAGAAAAATTTAAAGTCCTGGATCATCAGCAAACTGATAAAAGCAAACTTTTATCTAAATCTAAGTTTATAGAAGACCAGTAACTCTAGCCTCCCAGGTACTAGTCAAGAAAATGCAAAGGCACGGTTGCACACTTTTCCCTATTTTGACCTTCCAACAGCTCATACCAGGTTAGTTCCCCTAGTGCAAACATAAAGGGTCAGGAACCAAAAGATGCTAGATGTCAGCATTTCTCACAGGCTTACCAGGTTATCTCAAAGAATATGGAATCTCTGAACATACTTCTTGTTCTGGATTATACACACCATGAGAGCTACTTATGACTTTCTGCTCTACCACATCAAAATTAAAAAAAAATAAAAAAAAAGTTATTCAGTTAATTCTTACTATGTGCCACTGAGGTTGATAAACATCTCAACTACATATGCAGAAAATGTTTGACTGGTGCTCTAGAAAGTAGATATTTATCCCAATATTTAATAAATAATATCCTAATTAGATACTGGGAACTTCCGACTGTTTTATATCTCTCAATAACACACTACAGTATGTGGTTTTTAAAAAGTCTTACTTCCCCTTACACGGCTACTTCCCTTAAACAGGCTATCCGTTAAACTCACTGAAGCAGATTTAAAAAAAAACAAAACAAAAACAAAACAAAAAACCACAAACTCACACCAGTACATATTTGAGAGGAAGCTACCATAAGAAAACAAAAAGGTAAATCTTGCCTGTCTTCCTGAAAATACAGGATCCAGGATGAAGCTGATTAAGGTGAAGCAATTACTTTTGAAAATTCCACCCCAAAACAATGATGCATCCTTCTCATGCAAAATTAACTAGTGCAAAAATGTGTTTTAATACCTCTTACTCAACAAAGACAATCTGGGCCCCTCAAGTTTCTCACACAGATCCAGCTGAAAGTGCGGCAGAGGAGGACAATTAGAATCACTGAAGTTTGGTGGTGGTACCACTGTCATGTCAATCCCTTCTGCACCCTTTTGAAAAGCTTAGAAAAAGATGTCTTTTTGAAGAGGTCAAAGAAACATACAACAGGAATGATGGGTTTACCTCTTTCCTGTTAGGAAAAATACGAGGTCACATTTCCACCCCCAACATTCCAGTACCTCTAGGACAGTACAGGGAATACTGAGTACAAGAAGTTACAAGAATTCAAACAACAATCTGTGAATAAAGTTAGAAAACTTATTGGAAACGTTTAAAGTGCTAGCCACACAGTCTACATAACCGCATTAAAGAAAATTAATAGCAACAGAAACAAACTCTCAAGAGAAATTCTCTACCATTTATCAGTGAGATTACCTTTACCAGTCCCCACTTATCCCCAGGCAAACGTACACTAACGTGCTTTGTAACGCATTTTTTCCCTCCTTAAAGCATTAAAGCATTCAAGGACTGAATCCATCCCACACTGCCTCCTACCCATGAAAACCATTCTCACTTCATCAGCTGCTGAGAATACGTCCCCACATGTCGAGAGCCAGGCTCTTTGTTATTGATGAAAACTTACTCAGGAATTTTGCAAAAACCTTCCAGGCTGCTGCACTGCAGATATATGTAAATCTCCCACTGCCATTTTTTGAGTCAAAGCTGTTTAAAATACACAGAGCCATAAGCTTCTATGACTGGTAAAATGGGGTTCACAGTCAACATGAGCTTCCAACTTTCCTTTCCCAGAATGCAGGGTGGGATG